AATTCTAGCGTTTAGGGTTTAGGATAGAGCTTTGGCGGGCTCAGGGTTAGGATTCTAGGAGTTAAGGTTAGGCATTCTGGAGCAAGGGTGTAGGATTCTAGCGTTTAGGTCTAAGATGACTTAGGTTTTAGTAGGTTTGATCTAGGGCAGATGGAGGGTTTTGGCCTGTTGGGTCAGGCGGTTGCATGCTGTCATTTGCGACTTGCACAGTGTCGTCTATACTCAGACCAGCACAGGATACCTAAATCCACCTTCCGCCCCCCCAAACCTAAAACCCTGAGAGCCCAACACCCGAATACCCCTTGCTCGAGAAGCATTCCACCTTTGCAGATTTTAAAAAAACAAAAAAAACGTTTGTAACACCATCTACTTTTACTGCAAGGCACCTGCTACGGTCGCACGCCAGTTTTAATCCGGTGAGCCCCTCAATCAAACCTTGACGCGTTTGAAAGGCAGTTGTTCTCAACTCTCAATTCTGAATCCAGACCGTTGAGTTCCGTTGACATCATCTGCAGTTTATAGCAGCCTTCAGTAGAACCATGTTAAACTCAAGGCCTTCACACTTAAACCCTGAACCTTGAGCCTTGAGCTCTTTCGGGGCCCACACTTCCAAGCCCTAAACCCCAAACGGCTGCAGGAGATCCGCCGAAATTTGGAAATGAAGCTCGGCTTTAACGCCTCTCTTCCCAGCTTGTACTCCGAGGCCTTTTGTTCAGGGTTTAGGGTTCAGGTTTTAGGATTTAGGGTTCAGGGTTTAGTGTTGAAGCGTTTTGGGGGCGAGAGCGTTGCGGGTTGAGGGGACTTGGTTCAAGGTGTTGGGCTACGGGTTCCTTTTAGGTTTCTGAAATTATATCGAAGTTGGGGAGTTGGGGTGCTGTAAAGAATTTAAGTTAGGCTACTATAGTAAGGAAACGGTTTTATTTACTATATGCCCATATGAGCTATAGTCTAAACTCCTAGTATCCCCCTTAATAACCCCTATAATAGTCCCATATATATTCCCTATATAACCCCTTTTAAGGAGTTTAGACTATAGCTCATATAGACTTAATTTTAAGTTCCTTGACAGCAACCCAAGTTAGGGCTCCTGGATGCTCCTGGCTTCAAGCTGAAGGGTTTGCGGTTCGCATTAGATTTGAATTTCAGGGCCAGGGGTCAGGGTGTAAGGAGGGTTCATTGATGAAAGGAGCTCCCTGCGATTGATTTGCATGGTTTTGGGTGAAGATGGGGGCTTTTGGACTGTCTTCTGATGCCTTCAAACCCTAAACCCAAAATGACGGCAAAATATTGCGAGTCACGAGTCATCGGGCCCAGCAATTAGGGCTTAGGGTGTACGGTAAATGTCTCTAGCCCTGCCCCACTCTTAAAAAGCTGTTAATGGCAGGTAGCAACATCTGACATGCTCTTCTGATGTGACACCGTTTTTTCCCACAGTGGCTGCCGCTGGAGAAGCTTGCTTTCCCTCCCCCCCCTACACCCAGGTAGTTTCCCCAAATAACGTGACCCCAATCTAGACCCCCATATACGATAACCCTTGTTATGGGTATCCCCCAAATGGTACCCCGAAATTTAGCAACTCCCATGTCAGGCCAACATGGCACAGCTGATTTCTCTTCTGGATGACGGAGTGACTGGTGATACGGAGAAGTCGTTCATGCGTGGGGGGTCCGCAGCCTTCACTGCTGAGGACTGTGAGGAGTAAGTGTACTCGTCGAACTTATGAACGTTAGCAATGACTGCGTTCACACGCTGCGCAACCTGCAATGAGAGATGTCTAGTGTAGCATTGCCCCAATGAACCATTCAAGCACATTGTGTTTGTTATAGGTCTAAGGGGATTACAGAAGACCGTTCCTCAAGTTGCAGGCTATCCGTACCCTCATACCAACAGTATGAGTTGCATACGCTTGCAGCAAACAAAGCAACGGAATGTTTCAGTGGTTGGTCCTTGGATTCGTTCCGGACCTTTCCAAGTTTTGAGAGTCGTGGTCTTCCGCGGTGCAGCGCCCGCACTATGCCTTGTGCCCGGCGCGGACCATTGAATCTCTTGCAAAGCTTGTCCTTGAAACCTTCAAGGCCATGGCAAATCTCGAAAGTCTGCAAGGTCTGTGACACCAGAACATGCAGTCGTTCTGATACTGGCAGTGAAGGTCTGAGGATATTTGTTTTTTCCTGTGTGCACCAGCCCGAACTGTGGGCAGGATGCAGTACTGGCCACGTCGTAACGTGGAACTGGCTGCAGTTACCAGCGTACATCCATAAGAGTCCTTCCCTTGACACAGAGACCTTGGCTTTGGCTCTGGTCTTTGGCCTCTCCTTGGCCTAGTGCGAAGTTCGAAGAAAGGTGATGTGCGATCTGCAGGTACCGCCAGGACGATGCCCGTCCGTATATATAACCCCTATGTAACTCCGATCTATATGCCTTATGTAACCCCTATATAAGCCCACTGCAGCCCCTATATAATCCTTATAGAATCCCTATGTAACCCCAAATAGTCCTTATATAACCCCTACATAACCCCCCCTAGTAGTTGCCATGGGAAGCGCTCCGAGCAATTATATTTCATGGGTCCAGCACTTATGGGTCCCATTTTGGAGGTCGACGGCCCCATAACAAGGGTTAGAGCATTCTGGTGTCTATTGCGGTATCCCACCTGAAGCCCTGAACTAAAAACTACGTTAATCCCTAAATCTTAAGCCTTGGATCCTAAACCAAATTTCTTCCTCTGCAAGGCCTCAATGATTCCCAATGCCAACCTGAAGCCTTGTCTCGGGCTATCTCGGGATCAATGCGGGTTGGTTTGGTAGGATATGCAAAACCCAACCCGACTTCTCACCAAAGGCTGGTTTGTGCGGAGGACAGTCCCAAAATTCAGATTCTGAAAATGTTCTGAGATGGCCAGTTACATGTATAGACTTACATAGGTTCAGGGTTGAGGGTTTAGGATTTAGGGTGAGGAATGATAAGACAAGATGGAAGCTACTTTATCGTTTAAATTTTAAGGTCTGGGGTAGGGAACACTATGGGGATTGTATGGAGCGTCGTCCAGAGTATAGTTCATTTTTCGGTATCCTAAACGTAGGGCCGTGTGATACTAGCGACCCAGAGAGGGGACCATCATTTTGACAGCCTACCATGTAGGACTCCTGTAGGGATCCATTCTTAAAGAGTATGAGAGCAGGTTGAGGGAATCTTTATGTAGCCTAGCCCCTATCAAAGCCCTCTACAAGGACCTTTTGAGTAGACTCCTTGTGTATCTCTGTGCTTGCATTGTGCTGAACGCTAATGCAGCGCGCGCTATGGGATCGTAATCTGAAGGTCTTAGAAGGCAATCGTGGCATCCCGTCGTAGCCCGGCTCTACGGAGTTTCAGCAGGAAACTACCTCCATATGAGCCTTACATGGCCCCCGTATGCCTCCTAGTCCTAGTCTCACCGCATGAACCTTTATGTAAGCCTCATGTTAAGGCACCCATCCAGTAACTCGGTTTTAGAGACCCCAAACCTTACAATATGCCCCCATATACTAACTTGACAAGTCCTCCAATCTGCAGCTGTTGCTCAAGCGTCCCTGATCGGGGTCCCAGCGGCGTTTGCAAACTGTGCCTGTGCTGCATCCGATATTGACACATGCAGGCTTCTACGGATCAGTGAACTGGTACGAGGAATAGGAAAAGGAATAGTTATACTGGTGGCACCAGCACTAGCAATCGTACTAGTAATCACAAAAGCAACAGTCATAGTGATCGTAGTAGTCATAGCAAGAGTAAGAGTGAGAGCAGAGGCAGAAGCCAGACTGATAGTACTACTGTTGATGGGGGCACCTTTTTCACAGTTCCCTAAAATTCGATGAACCCCTTTATATTGGTCACGACTTTGCTGAAGGCCTATCGGGACACATGACCCAAATCGTGAACCACCTCAATTTCTCTCATGAGGCCTTATAGGTCTGTACCATCCCTTTAGGGTTTTGGGGTTAATGTTTGGTACCCCACTCCTCCTAAGATTTACGCCCCACAGCCCAAATATTGAATATTCCCATTGTTGCATATTATAGTGTATTGGGAATATGTAATTTTAGGGCGTTTGGGGTGGTTTTTAGTACTACCAAACCCAAGCTCTCCACTCAGCGCCCTGAACCTCAACGTCTGAGGTGCGAACATCTCCCACACCATCGTGGATGCTGTTTTGCATCTCAGTGTTACGCTAGTATTAGTAAAGATGATGGCAGGTCCAGTGTCAGCCTTACACCGGAAAATGTTTGGAACATCGGGGTGACATTTTCTCGGTAGAGGCAAGCTGCCCGGATGAGGAGTAAGACTCCCTCTGTGGGGCCCGGGGAACCTTCATCCCCTCCGCCTAATATTAACCCCCCCACCCCCCGTAATGTGAAGCATCCCCAATATGATAATATACCACACAATGGGAGTATTTCATGTTAGGGAGGGTGCGGGGGTTTGAATATTAGGGGGACGGGATTAAGAACATTAGTTTTCCATGATCTTCGGGCATTCTGATGCTTATTTGTTCTTAGTAGGGAATAAGGGAATATAGTCCCCATGTTAACCGTATATAATATGTATATATATATATATGTTCCCTTATTGCCGGCTAAGAACCAGCAAATTCGTTTTGGGCCAGTGGGGGAATGAATTCTTGCGTTTAGGGTTTAGGGCTTGGGGTTTAGGGTGACAGGCAGACTTATGTCCCACCACATCCTCGTGGGGAATAAGCACCAACAGCAAGGTCAGCATGTCACCCTAGGAGTGACTTCCGTAGAACCTTTACAGCGGGGCTGCTTCTGCTCGGAACCACATTCCATTAGCAGTGCTCCTCAAGGGAGGATCTGTTTTTCCAATAGCCAGAAGGGTCGTTCCTTGGAGTCCCCGTTTGGGTAGTTTCTTCGGAGTTCCTGCTAGGGATTGTATATCGGGACCGAGTTACAGCTGGATATCCTTTAGGCTTTTCAGAAGTACCCAAGCTATAACTGAGAATCTCCAAGGATTTGGATCCTACGATCATGGCTCAGCCTTTCGAAGCTGCTCGGCCCAGCGGAGAGATCCAACCCGGTCTACACGGTTCAGGGTTCAGCATCGGGGATGCGGTTGTTGTTTTAGGGTTAATGGGTCGGCATGACCTGCTGTGCCTCTCTTCCCCCCGGAATTGATCCATGAGAGCCAGTGCCACAGAGAAATTCTTGGCACCGAAGGGGCGTTGTCCGTAAGAATCCTGCAGGCTGTCCTTGTGGAGTCCGAGGAGGAAACGAAGGCCTTCCCCAAACTCACGTGGAGGGAACAGCAGTCAAGCAGAAAGGGCTTGCAGGGATCGGATTCAACAGGACTTGCGCTCTACTGATTGATTTGGGACAAGTTGGGCTTTGAATTCTAGAGTCGGAGTCTTCACTACTCAGACTTCAGTGTCGAGATAGGTGTTGTGGAGTTCTGCTGATATTGGGATATTGGGGTAGGACCCCCGACTATGAATGATTGATTTTTTGAGGTTGACGATGCATGCGATGCACGAATGTTTCCCAGCTGCAAGCCGGGGTCGCAAAATGCGTTGGTGAATCAGGTTTAGGGTTGAGCTGAGGGCATTCATCTTTGAGAGAAGTGTACCGCCCTGTGGGTCCGTGGAAGGACTGGTTGCGGAGTTGCTGCAGAAGCGACGACGGGTTGCCCACAACCAAGGGGGCCAGTAGGGTTCCTATCTAAGGAGCCCGTAAGCCCCCCCCATCTCCATGACGAGCTGAATCATGTGGTGTTACAGTAAAACCTGAACCTGCACCCTTCGGGTTTAGGATTCAGGGAGTCTTAAGCCCTGAATGGCAGGAGCCCTTGCAGCGTCCAGAATCGCCGAGTGCCCGCACTTGGGCCAGGGCGGGAGAGCAGAAGTCGTTCTCTTTGGTTCAATATGCGCTCCAGCTGCAAAAAGAAAATTACCTGGAGGTTGAGGGTATTTGCAAGCCAATCAAGTATTTCCATATTTGCGGCCACTGTTATCAGTACAGCTTTAAATAGAGTTTAAACTATCCTGAACATCCAAGTATTAAAGGATTTGAATGGGAACCCCAAAGCAGGAAACCTCAAGAATATAGTAGGAATAATAATGGGAACGTAAGGGCCTGAACGGTATCTTCCCAACATATTCCTGCTATATTCTTGAGGTTGTCTGTTTGGGGTCCCCATGAATTGAAGTCCTTTTGAGTGAGGTACCCGTACATCAAGAAAACTTCAGCCCTAAGTCCGGAACCCTAAATCAGCCCCTGAACTCTGAACCCTAAAAAACAAAAGCAAAAAACGATGCAATTCAACACGTGGCTGGCCCGAAAACAGAACGGGTGCCAAGTAAGCTCTCAATAACCCTAATCCCTGAACCCCACTAAACCCTGTACGCTTCCGTATACCTTCCAAAGAACCCCATAGAGCCCCACATAGCCCCCAATACAACCCTCATATGGCCCCGTATAGCCCCTTCGAATCCCATAGAGCCCCTACGTAACTGCTATGCAACCCGCTATATTTAGATCCCTAAGCCGAAGCCATAAACCCTGGATCCTGATCCCTAGACCCTAAACCCTAAGCTGACCCTAAACCCTAAGCTTTGAACCCTAAACTGCGAACCCTAAACCCTAGATCCTATATACCCCTCCGCTCTTTTTAGATCACTGAGCCGAAGCGCAGGTGGCTTTGGTGGTAGCGATTGGCCTGGGCGTCGTCGCGGTCATGGCCTGGCCTGGAACACAGAGCCTCGAAAGATTGGGTTTATTGAGGGTTTAGGGTTTAGGGTTTTGAAATCAAGGTGTTAGGGTTTAGGGTTTTGGGGTCCCTTAAAGCTAAGACCCTAAGATCAAAACTCTCTTGTCTGATCTTACAACGGCGGTATTAGTGGGAGGGGATTATTGCACGTCACCTGGCGTCTGAGGAAGTGTCAGCCTTTGAAGTTCGGCGACTTCCAGGTCAAATCTGACGTAGACTTGGATGCGCAGATGACTCTGAAGGCGCGAGTTTAAGGTTTAGGGGTTTAGGGTTCAGAGCTGGGACAACATCATGGTCCATGAGCACAAGAGATTAAAGGCTCCGGATTGCTTCAAACTTTTAGTGTCTTCTACTGTCAACCTTCCAGCTACGGCGTAGGACGGATGAGCTTGACGAATCCACTCAAGCCTTCATGCAAAGTTGTGACCTCACATGGTAGATATAGACACCAAAATATTATAATCCTTGTTCTAGCGCCTGCCTAATTTTTGGAAACACACATATCTAGTGGGCCTTAGCTCCAGAGTATTCACATCTTAGAGGCGCAGCCGTACTCGGCTTGGTTTACCTTTAAGCGGTGGAGGAAGCAATGCATTTGTGCAGGGTCCTTTGTGGCAGACATCCAAGGTTTTGCCTGGCTTGGGAGGCCCTAAACCCTAATCCCTGGTGGAAATTCGGGCCTCTCCCGGGAAATGTTCGGAGCTCAGAATTCTGGATGGCGAAGCCAGCGGTGTCTATCTCAAAACCCAGCATGGGAAAGAAAAACACGGAATTCGCCTATGAAAGTCGTAGTGCAGTTTATTCATATTAGTCTGCTTATTATTCCTATTATTCTTACGATTATTAAGATTAGCAGGTTCACCCCATGAATAGCCCAACGCAACAACGCTCACAATTTGAACTACTTAGTGGTTCTTAGTACGGAATAAGGGAATATAAGCCTTCTACATTCCCTGTATAGTATATGTTCTTATTCCCTTCTGGGAACCAATAAGACGAATGAGCGTAGTCGCGGCACTTGTGGATCCTCAAAAAGGCCAACGCGCTGAAGAGCGTCACGAAGCGCAAGCTGGCCGAGAAGATCGTGATGAAGGCAGGGATTGTGGGACTCAGGAGGACGCTCCTTTGTTGCAGGGTTGTGTGCGCTATACAAAGTTTTCCATAGGTTTTCAATACCTATGGTTTGTGCAGGCTGTATGAAACACGTTCGATTTTTTTGCTTACGGGGTATACGTGTTTTTGTGAGTGTATATAGGGCTCATGCTGTTGGATCTTTGTGGGGTCAGGACGTGGTATGCAGGTCTGAGGATTTGAGCTTACAGAGTGGGTGCCGAGAGGACACCGCGACGATAGCATGAGGACTGCGACGACGACTCTAACGATGACGACGCAGCCGACGAGTTGACGATGACGACTGCTTGCTCTATAGTTCTGCTGCTTCTTGCTGCTGCTGCTGCTGCTGCTGCTGCTGAGTCCTGGCTGCTGGCTACTGCTGCTGCTGCTGCTGCTGCTGCTGCTGCTGCGGCTGCTGCCACAACTATTTCCGTGAGGCCATGAAGCACACCGGGCGCAGGTTCTCCAATCACTTCGACAAGAAGCAGGCCTGGTTGTGGAGACTGCCACACGGATTGCTTGGGTATGGTATGTGCAGCAGAAATCAGAAGTGTTTGAGGGATCCCCAAGATAGGGGCCAGATTTGTGATCTGAAGGGAGGTCATCGATTTTTGGGGGTCCTCAAACCTGAATTCTACAAGCCCAAACCCTATTAACCTATTCCTCATAGCCCTAGAACCATAAAGCTGTCCAAAATTTCAGACTGTGTTTCCTGGGGCCGAAGCTGCAAATCCTTTATCCCCAGACCCTGTAAACAATTGAGAAGTAGACCCGGTATGCTACCCTAGGCTACTATTTTATTGCGTAGTCTTGAGGAAGGTGGAAAATAGATCCTCCCCGCGTTACCCGCCATAAAGCCTAAACCTGAATACTGACACACCCCAACCTCCGCGATGCTGGCAACTTCGTGTGCGTAATGGGAGCCTAGAAGCCTAAAACCATCTAACGCCTTAACACCCTTAACTCCTAAAACCTAAAAGTCTAAAGCCCTAGAATCTTGAACCCTAAAAGGATCGAGCACTGCCGGCAAACCCTGCGGATGCCGGCCGTGATATGCTGACCAAGGCTGCGAGAATATCATCAAGGTTATTTTGGGTTTAGGGTTTAGGGCTGTTTTTGGGCATGGGGTTTAGGATTCAGGGTTTCACATTTGGGGTTTAGGATTTAGGGTTCAGTGTTGAGAGTTTGGGTCTCAGCTTGGGATTTAGGATACTAGTGGAGAATCAAAGTGAAAAGAACATTGAACATGAAATGGAAGCTGGCATTCCTGTCAAATGTTGGTGGAGAATCAATACAGGTTCCTGCCTTATGAATGGATTATGGGAGCTGAAGGGGCCCTTAAAACCTAGACCCTAAATTTGTTATTGGCTGGAGCCCTGACTCAAGCAATTTAGGACTCAAAGCCCTTGACAGGTTTTCGAGCTAGTTGAAATTACAATGTGATAGACTTGGAGAGAAAATCTTGGTGATCATTCAGGCTCCTATGCCGCCAAACATCGATCCTGGTACCCATGACTCGGAACACGGTAGGGTGTAGGGTTCAGGACTTAGGGTGGTTGAGGAAATCTAGCCCGACAGATCGCCAACGTGCAAAATCTCCCCATCCACGGCCGCAGTAATCTCACAATTCATCAAAGGCTGTTTGATGCTTATCGTCTCCCTTAAGTAGATAGAATATGGTTTTGGGTATGGTATAATCAGATCCCCATATGCCCAATATTCTATCTACTTAAGGGGGACTCTACCGATAGCAGTCGTCATTGTTGAGCAATGGTCGTGCTGGCATAGTAACAACTGGAGTTGGCACAAGTGATGGGCATAGTGCCCTCAATGATGCGGGCCTGTAGACAACGACAGAAACTTCAGACTGCATTGCCAACGTGTGAGCCGCTCGCAAGGATTTGTCGACGAATCTTCAGTATACCCAACTGTGCTGCTAGTAGAAGATGGCCTTCAACATTGCTGACCATACTTATTACCAGTGTGATCATCCGCTATGATCTTGCGTACAGCTTCCAGCTTTCATAGCTTGAGACAAATCATGCTGGGCGCATCGCGGAAAGCCTCAACCCTAAACCCTAAACCCTGAACCGAACCCCGAACCCCGAACCCTAAACCGAAAGGTTCTTTGCATTAGGATGTATGCTGTCAGGGTACCTTGAATGCCAAACACAAAATCTGTCGGCAACTGAGTGTTAGTGCCATGGCTATTAAGGGAAAAGATTCCGGAGTGGTAGTTCAACATGGCACTTAATAGCACCTAGACCCTAATCCCTAAACCCTAAACCCTAAAACGTGGGGTTGAACAAATAAAGGTCCTTGTAAAGAAGGGACCACTGGGAAACACTTCCTTGAAGGGGGATCCTAACCCCAAAGCAAACCTACCTAAAACTCCGAACCCTAAACCTAAATCCTAGAACCTAAATAAACACATTTTGTCCATAACTAGGGGGATCCCAACGTAGATTCCAAAATATAGTTTATTATTCCTTATTATGGGGCCCACAAAAAGTATCCCCTTGTTTTGCGAAACTCCAAACCCTACAGCCTGAATATCTCTACATAGCCCCTATATCCTTTTTTTGGTCTAAGTCTGGATGAGTTGCGTATCCTCTCAGATTTCAGAATTCTTCGCAAAGGAAGAGGAGCTTTTGACAAGCTGTGTCAATGTCCTCATATCCCTGCATTGTATCTAGGGTTCAGGGCTTAGGGTTTCCTATAAGGATTAGGACATATCGGAGTCTTTATTGGGCTCCCCCTTTTAATTGAAATTACCATCTATCCTTCCATGTCCCTATGTTACATATATATATATATCAAATTACGTCTTGTGAAGGACGAGATCATTGCCTACAGGGCAGACAAGCAGCTGAGCCGCAGTGCCACATTCTGTAGCCATCTCCCTGAACCCTAAGCGGGCGATGGTCAAAATACCTTCGAAGGAAGATCATATACACAGACCTTGAATGTTCTCATGAGGTTTGGTTGTCCTCTTCGTCATGAGGCGGCACGCAGGGTAAACCGCACTTTCTGCAGGGTGGCGCTAGACTCGCGGTAGACCTGCGGTAGGTTTCGTGTACAATCAGCTGGTGTCATGCGAGCGTCCAGCTTGACCATGGGAACTCCTTGTATTTGTGGAACTTCTATCATTCTCCAAAGGCCCAGACAATTCACAAGAGGCAGACTTCATTATGGCCAGGAAATTTGAGTTGCCACAGCGCTTTCGGCTGTAGATGGCGCTAGATCCGCGCTAGAAGCGCGCTAGTATCTGTTGTCCATGTAGGTCGTAGCCCGCCAGGGGT